GCCAGTTGGTGGTTCAGCTGTGAATCATCCTTATGGCGTTCACTGACCGTTTCTGTGGTTTTGGCTGCCTCTGCAAAACTTCCACTGACCAGCTCGGTACTAATTCATTTAGTCTGAATCTGTAAACACTTGATTGATAATCATAAAAGGTCAATATAAAAGCCTGTGCGCTGTACGGATTAAAAGAGCAGACATGTTTATAGCCTGATAACAGCTGAGTACTCTGGCAAAAATCAGGAGTCTCAGATTTCCATATCCAGATGATTTTATTTTTGGAGTCCAGTTGGTGGTTTTTAATTTTTGGCTATTGCAAAACCATTGTAGGTCTTAGCTGTTGCAACACAGGAGGAGGAGGAGGAAGAAGACGTTGCTTGGAACGGGTGCTCTGCGCTCTTATTTAGGAGGCTTTCACAGTAGTTGCTGGTCTCTGAGTACCACGGGAGGAATGATGCTCCCTCCTCGCTGCCTGGTGAGGGGGACAGAGTGCAACTGTGTCACTTAATAGTGCCAGCTGTGAGGGGCATGGACAAGCTCCGATGACATTTCTGCCCAGCCCCAGGAAGGGAATTGCTGAGGTGAGGAGCGGGCGGATTGTAAAGTGGAGCCCTATGGAGAGGAGGAGGGGTATCCTCAAGACTTTAACCAGGAAACGGACTCGAGGCAAAAATAAACGGAGAGGCAAGCAAACTCTTATTTCAGCCAGCAATCTATTGCGCGCTCTGCTCTGGGGAGGGCTTGCAAGTTGGAGCTAAACCAAAACATAAATTCTGCTTTTTTTGGGGCAGAGAAGGTGGGATCTTTACCTGGTACATCAGCCTTATCCCATCCTCTGCTCTCTGTTTCTCCTGCCTGGGCTGAAGAGGCTTTTAAAAAAAGTGGGGCTGTAATGTCAGGGGGGCACTGCAGCATGCATGTGAGCTTGCTGGGAAACTCGTGCCGCTCTGCATCCCTCTTCTCTGGCGTGCTTCGCACTGAGCAGGCTGTTAAGCTTCAATGTGATGCTGTGTCCTATGTTACAAATTAGACCTGAACTAATTGGCAGGGATGCGGAAGCGCCCACGGCAGCGGGTGTAATTGGCGCTGTGCTCTCTGCAGTGTTGCCTGTCTTGTTCTTTTGAATTTCCTTTGGGGGGAAAACCTGCAGTCTGACATAATGTAGCAGCAATGTTGTGGGCATCCTCAGTGTCACTGAGGAGTAATTAATCTAAAGATGCTTGTGGGGGATGGAAGGCTGAAAAGGGCTAAAATTTTTGGTTTAGGGTTGTGGGGTTTTTTACCCTACTGACTGTGCCTACCAGGGACTGTAGTAACAACCTAAACCAGGCTACCCAGAAAATATTTAAGGCTTCTGATTACAGGAGCTGTTTTTCTGTTTTCTTTCTTCCTCTCCTTTCTTCTTTCTTTCTTCTTTTACTGTTACTGAAGTCTTCCCTGCAGTGCAGTGCTTAATCCTGGACTAGCATCACTCCAGGAGCCACAGGCACCCCACCTCCCAAAAGGGGTATCATCTAGGCATGATCTGTTGTAGCTGCAAATGAACAAGTTTATTTGACCTTGGTTACTTCCTAGACCAAGGAATTTATCACCCTATTTTTTTTGTATTAATAGGAACCCTGTAACACTTATACAAGCTTCTGTTAAAACAGTCTCTTAATTGTGTATGTTGCACCAACCACTGTAGTGAGAAAGAAGTCCTCCTACAGTGAGTATTTATTCAAGGCAGGACAGTAAATGGCATCAAAATCCTGCTGGGTTTTGGATACGTGAGTGCAGATATAACCCATCTTGCAAACCCCCTTTCTTTGGAGCCAGAGGTGCAGAGGTGGGTTTTAAATGGTGCTTCTCCGGGTCTCCTAGCAAGGGCGCTCCCCTGGCACATGGTCCCTGGCTCGGTGGCTGATGGCGGGGTGTTTGCCAGCCTGGTCCTCTCTTTGTTCCCAGCAGTACATGTGCATCATATGAGCACTGCTCCTGACACCAAGCCAGTGCTGTGGGTTTGGGGTTTTTTCCTTACTCTATTCCCATGCAAACTGTCAAGGAGATTAGAGGAAAGACGACCTTTGGGGTGTCTGTTTAGCAAGTAGTTTCCTCTGTGTTCTTTGTTCCCTTTGCCACTGTTTGGTCCCTCCTTTTGCCTTTCCACGCACTGAATTCTCTGCTGATGCACATGCATAAAGATACTGCCACAATGGCTTTTGTTTCGGGTTAGGGAACTGATATTTATTTTAAGACTAAAATGAAGTAGGGGTTGCAGGTGTTATTTGCATAAATAGGTTGAAGGAAGATGATAATGCTGTCCTGTTCCAGACTGGAGAAGGGACTGTGTGGGAAGGGAAGCCATATGAAACAGGGAAAGGCATCTCATCACACGCTAGTTTAAACCAGAACACACAAGTCAAGTTGATTAATCATGAGCAGAAACATGATGCTTATTTGGAATGAACAGCTATGGTGAAAATTTTTATAATAAATTTCAATGTTGTCAGCTCATGGTCTTCTCCCCTATTCCTGCTATTGGCTAGGGTTCAAATATCCGTAGAAAAGCTAAATCTCTTAAACACAAACTTCTAGAGGAGATGACTTCTCTTTAAAGAAAATTAACCTATGTAACCTGAGGAGAGTCAGGGGCACGCTTAGGGAGTGAGGAAGCCTTCTAATTCTCTGGATTTCTTCAATCTGGTCCAAAGGGAGGCATTGTGATAGTGTTTCCTTTCAGGAAATGGTTGAACTAATTGCTTTTTGTTCTAGGATTTTCATTTCACAGGATGCTGTTTTAATGGCTGATGCACTCTTTACCTCTCTCTTGGCAGGGATGCTAATTATTTGTCTGTAGAATCACTTTGCATCTTCGGCCCAAACACATATGAACATGCTGCTATTGGAAATACAGTGCTGAGCATCCTGTGCTTGGCTGTCAGTCCCCTGACTTGTACAGTGGACAACTTCAGACCATGCTGCTTCCTTCCTGTCTCTTGTAGCCAATTTGTCATCAGAGATTCAGGAGACCTGGAGCCTGCTCCTGGCTCTGTACCCATCACGTGAAATGGGACTTGCTGCAAGTCATACATCTGCTGCTCTCTCCCCTTTCCATCTGTGTCTCGATCTAGAGAGACAGGAACTGCCTCTTACTATGTAAAATGTATAATAATGCTGTTGGCCCAAACCACTCTGCCTTAATACATGTTGCTGTAATTCAGAATACCCGTGAAATAATTTTGCATTAAGGCACGTGTCTGGTGGCTCTTAAACAGAAATTGTTAGTACTTTTTGCTCTGATTTGGCACTTTGAGGAGTGTATAAGTGAGGGCAAATCAAGAAACTCTGATGTCCTAAAAGTTTTCAAGACTCATCGAGGTGGTTTCCAGGCAGAGCATATTCAGTCTGCGCCTGGGCTTGGAGGTGCAGAGGCCCCGGCTGTGCTGCTTGTGTTGCACCGGAGAGCCGAGATGTGTCTCATACAGTGAGCGGCAGCGCAAGGAGTTTCCCCTCTGGGTCTGGCATGGTGGTGTGCCTGCCTTGCAGCTCCACCCCAAAATGCATGATTTCAGTTTGAGGGTGGAAAAGTCAGAAATTGAAAAAACCCAAGAAACTACTCCAGGAGTGTGGGGGAAGGGAGGAGAATGGTTATTTTGTGCCTTTTTTCATCCCTGTTTGTGTGAGAGCCTACACTCATTCATAAATGGCTGTGACAGCCGAAAGCCCTCAGTACGAACAGAAACCGAACCACTGGAGAGGTTGGCTCCAAGGGCTCCAAAAAGTCACTGAAAGGCAATGGAGAGGGGGAACCGAAGTGTGCTGTGCCTCTGTCCCACTCGGGGCCGCTCTGCCGCGGGGAATGCGGAACTGTGGAGCCGGCGGGGGGTGGCTGTGTTTGAGCAAGGATCTGGCGCTAGAACTTTTTTTTCTTCTTCTGTTTCAAGTAAACACACTTCCCCGCCCTCCCCTCTCTCCCTCCACCCCACCTCCCTCTCTTTCAATCCCGCTCATGTGTTTCTATTTAAGGGCTGCAGTGCAGACGAATATGATTGGCATCTACAGCCCCCTCTTGACTTTCAGCTCAAGCCTTTAGAGTGGAGAAGGAGCTGAGCCGCCAAGGGGAGAGCTGTTTTTTTCTTTGGGTTTGCTGGGGGGATGGCTCAGCTGTGGATTTATGCTGCTTCTGCCCAGGATTTTTCTCTCTGAATGGGAGCAAGGATTGTGGAAACCATGTTGGGAAGAGGTTTATTTTCAGAATCCATCATGAAACTTTGCAACTAATTCACTGTTTTAGGCTCCTTTTCATATTTTTTTTCCCCTCCCCTTTTTTCTTTTTCTTCTCTCCAATGTCCCTCTGTGCTGCTGGGTTGTGGGCCAGAGGAGGCTGTTTCTATATGGCCAGCCATTTGGGGATATGCTGCGAGCCAAGGTTGTTTGCTGATTCGCTTGGCTCTGGTGACAAGTTGGCCTGTCGTGAATCGGATGGACGGAGGTCGCTCTCGAGGAGCCATGGCTGGAAGCTGGCTTACGGCTTGCTTTTTCCCTTCCCCAGGTGCTGATGCTAGCTCTGAACCCATGATCCTGGAGCAATATGTGGTGGTGTCCAACTATGAGAAGCAGGAGAACTCTGAGATCAGCCTCCAGGCTGGAGAGGTTGTGGATGTCATAGAGAAAAATGAAAGTGGTAAGACACGTTTGCTGTTTTTTTCCCTCTTCCAATGATCTGATTTTTTTGCATGTGTTCCTCTTCTTTCGGTTTCTTCATCACTACTTGTAGTTGTACTTTAGCTCCATCTGGTACAGTTACTATGTCTGGCTGAGGATGTTGAAGTTTCTCAATGTTGATTTGGGCTTGGGGCCAAATGTTGCCTTCTACTGTAAGAATGTTTCATAGGTTTTGTGCATTAATTAGCCAAAGTACGCTAATGGAAAATGAAGGTGAAAGAGAGAAGGATCTGCAGCTAATGAAGCTGATGTATAGCAGACTGATATAGTTGCCCTGCTGTTTCTTCATGTGTCTGTCAGCATTTCCATTACTAACTCCCTTTTCAGAGGATTTATAGGATGTTTAAAAATTGCTTGGGATGAAACTTGGCTTGACAACTTAGCCCATGGTGCAGAGCTTGGTAGAGAGGAGAAAGAATGTGCATAGATAAATATGCCATGCCATGCACAGTTTCAAAACTTCTTGCAGAAGTATTAATTGGGGAATTTTGAGGCAAGGAGGCAGAGCCTGTCATGTAAAAGCAAGATGAAATCCCTTCTCCTGCTATTCCTGGAATAAGCAGCTTCCACTCGGAAAATGAGATTTTTTGGCAAGTGTTTGCGTAGATGTCTTTTGTGTGCTTTAACTCCTGCATGTCTGGTAGCTTTGAGTCAGGCAGAACAAATGCAGGAGACTGTGCACACGTGAGTGGTTGGAGCGAGTTGGCAGCTGGTTTGAATAACTGCCTGTCTTCAGCAGCTCCCCCTCCTCCCCTCCAGTGCTCCTTGTGTATTAATCCAGAGCTGTTGTGTCCAGGACTGATTTCCAGCCCACTCGTGACTTGTGTGTTCCTCATCCAGAGAAACTGCTGCTATTTGGAGCCGTTCAAGCGAAGGCTGATGTTGTGGTAGCCCCACACGCAGGGCTCTCACAACTGGCTGGCTCTGGAGCATGCTGGGCATGCCAGAGCTTGGGGGAACCAGGGCACCCTGATCTGGGACTCAAATCCGTCTTCCAGACCTCTGAGTCAGGTTATCCACAATGATGACCACGCATTGTATGTTTTTATTTATTTATTTTTCTTTTAATGGAGTGGTCATTTCTCTGCTGTATGAAAGCCTAGTGCTTGTTTGTCTCAAAGTAATGCAGTCAGTTGCTGGCCAGTGATTTAGTGTGGTGTCTGAAAGGATGGTGTGTGGAAATGAACTGGCTAGTGTGACCAGAAATGCCTGTCTCCTGGGTACTGACTGTATCATTTGCAAAACTAGTAGAGGCCAAAATGCTTATCTGCCCCATGTTAAAGCAATAGCTATGATTGAAGGGGGCAAAAAATGTCTCAGCTTCTTAAACGGTCTCTGGGCTGGTGGACAACCATCCTTCCTTCCAAGCCTGAGGGCTCCTCGCTGTCAATAATGGGTGTTATTGCTGTCAGAACAAGCCCGGTTATTGTGGCAACTTCCATTCATATCCATGATATCCCTGTCTTAGAAAATTACTTAGGGAGCTAAGGGTATTGGGCTGTTAAATAATGCAAGAAGTGTCTGAATTGCAAATTACAATTCCTTTGTGTGTTCTTTTAATGTGGCCTCTCTGCCTTGCACAGTTCACATCATATTGTATTGAACCACATGGTGTGTGGAGATATAAATGGAGATTGTAAGGGTTTGAATTTAATTAGTGGGTCCAGAAATGTGACTCTTCTAAGGAAATAGCCTCCAACGTGGATTACAGTTCTCAAGACCATATTCTGATGCTTAGCAGCCAGATTTCTTGTTGTCCATATAAACAAGAAAGGAAATCTGAAGCTCTGAACTCCATGCTATGATCTTGTCCTTTATATATAGATAAAATACTGATACATATTTTAAAAAAACCAAAAACTCACAGATTGGTGATGGAGAGAGCATCATTTGCTTTGGATGCTTGTCTGAACTGTTCTGGCAGGGAATTCCTGTTTTAGTTGTTCCAAGAACAGGACTCCAAGCATATACTCTCACTCTCTCCTAGGTTAGGGATACCACAGGAATGACTTTAATACTATGACTTCTTGTCTCCTCACCTAAAGCTGAACCTATAAATGGCATGTAATGAAACTAGCAAAAGTTTCTCAAGTGTCAACTCTTTAAACTCTTCAGTTATTGTTTGAATTGGGTATCTGTTTAGTGTAGGCAAGCATGCCTAGAAGATGTGGTTATGACTTCTAAGAACATGGGGATACAGTTTTTAAGAAAATAAGATTGTTGGACTAAGCACATGTGTGGTAATGCATCTGACTGCATGGTTATGTTGGCTTGAGTGTTACGAAACTATAGCTGTGACTGTATAAACCAGACTTGTTCTGATCCAGACAGGCAAAGGTGATGTAAAGTGTTATGGATGTCATCTGCAGCAGGGACAGTTTCTTCAATGACAGAAAGGAAGTGTGGCTAGATGGCTTGTCAGCTCTGTGGCTAAGAAGTCCCATCAGACTGGACAGTGGGCATTGGGCGTGCTGCTGGGCCAATAGCTCAAATCTCCTTGTGTGTATGCATGCATGTTGTATGTCTGGGTTTGGGTTTTTTAACTGTACTTTGGGGCAGCTAGATATGTATGAATGTATATACTGGATAGTATGGATGACTGCTTGATTTTAAAAGCCTTGTTTGAATAGGGTTGCATGTTGATGCCTAGGGACACTTAAATGTTTTTGTGTTTCTCCAGAGTGGGAGAAACATTAACTTGGCTCTGGTGCATGGCTTTGTAGGGAAGCAACACCTTCACTTTACTGGTCAGATGGCCCTATAAGTTTTTACACAGGGAGGCTCAAAAGCTGTTTCCAAATGATGGTGCCTGTTTCATGTCCTGCTGGATGGTTTCTTCTGAACACTTCTAGGACCTGGGCTAGAGTTACCATCTCCTCTGTTTGCCTCCAAATTGTGTATTCCCGTGGAAGGAAGTAAGCTCTGCTTTCAAAGGCCAGCGCATAGAGCGGAGATAGAAGGGGAGAAAAATCTGGCATTTGATTTATTGAAGTCTTATCTGGTTATTGTCAAGCTATGTTAACTTCATCTTAAGTAACACTGTGTTGCATTTACTATATAGTAAAATCCAGTGTTACTTTTCCCATATCAGAGATGGGATTTAAGGCATGTTGCAGTCAGACATGTGCAAACCCAGTTGGTAGGGCCTTGTCTCATACTTAGCTTTCTCTTTCACTAAAAGAGTTGGATAAGGTTGTCTTCATTATTAGGACAGGGAAAGTTATGACTTGGACATCACCTTCAAGTTGCAACTTCTGTTCAGTCTTACGACTTAAAAGCAAGGTCAGTGTAGCATATGTGTGAATTATTTCTGAAACCCTTTATCTCAGTTATGAAGCCCACAGGTCACTGTAACCTGACTGTTGCAGTTGCCACAGAAGCAAATCTTGCTAGACTGAAAGAAATCTGTAGGAATTCTATACTTCAGAAGAAATTTAGTAATGTACCAGCTCTCAGACTTTGACACTTTGTTTTTTGCAGCAAATACCTATAGTGGCTCAACAAAAATTGACCTTCAGACCTTCTTCTGAATTCTGGTTACGTTAGCAGAAGACCACAGTGTGCCTGATGTATCTGATAGATATTCTCCTTCTTTTTTTCCTCAACTGAGGAGGAAAATCTGCATGTAGGAATGGTCATAAATGCATCAGGAGAAAAAGAGGTTTATAGTGTCCCCAGATGGTGTCTGGGAATAGGCTGTAGTTAGCAATGGTTGTGTTCCTTGTTGGAAGTGAGTGTGATTTGTTTAAATGCGCTGTGTAACCAACCTGCGCCGTCCAACGCTATCTAAACATCTCTGAGCTGTTTCAGAATAACAATATGAATAGCTGACTCAAGTCTTGCCTGTCAAATACATAGGCTTCTTGTAAATCTTAATCAAAAAAGCCTTGTGGAATGACTTAAAAACTTATTTCTGCTACAGAAATGAAATGTTGTGACTTTTAAAGCAGGAATCTGACACAGATTTCTTTAAGGTAGAAGGGGGAGGGACTGGACCAGAGCAGCTCCATCTCTGCCAAGTTTTGTGTGGATGTGGCTTGAAACGGTCAAGCTATAAACTGTGGTGGCAGTGTTTGCAATGGAAAACCTGACAGACAGTGAAGTATAAGCATACTCCCGAGCACCTCTGCCTCCGCAGCTGCTCTGCTCACAGGCAGGACGGGGGCTCTTCCCTTGCAGCCTCCGGGAGCCGTGTCTGCGGTGTAGGCATCGTGAAATGGTGTTTTCAGCTGGGCTGAGCAGGACCATAGCCATTTCCTTTGCAATTACATAACTGCAGACCAATTTCCACTATTTTATTACATGCAATACGTAAAACAAAGCTATTATGGCTAGCGTAACTTTATCGGGACCCAAAGGGATGTCTGGGAAGGAAGGCTGCTCTTCTGTCCTTGGCTGGGATGTGGGACATGGCACTGAAGTATCAACATAAAGAAGGTCTCTGCTTGTCTCAGTGCCCTGGCTTAGGGGTCTTGGGACTTGCTGATCTCCCAACGTTGTGTGTACAGCTAGTCTGTGTCTGGCAATGTGCTCTGCATCACCATTTGGTTTCACTTGTGTTGCTCACTGGCTGCAGTTATGATTTAGGAGAGGGACATAGGCCACAGCTCTCTTGTGACTCTGACTCCTGGGGATACACTGGCTTCCCTATTGCAAACTCCATCCTCTTAGATTGAAAGCTTTTTGAGTTTGGCTTCTGCCTCTTTATGAGAAACACAGCACGCTTTATTTGAAGGTGTTGCTTTCTACGGTTAAGTAACTGGTTTTACTTTGGTTTTACCAAATTGGACCAAGTTTACTTTCTTAATTAATTACAGCATCTTGGCTAAAGGGGCACCATTAAAGTGGTCCAGATAGAAACAGAGAAGGTGGGGGGTTTTGCATTTTATGGATCATCTTTCATCCCTGTATCCCCTCTGCCATGCCTGCTTTTGCAAGTAGCATTGATTTTTTTTTTTT